TACGCAGCAGGGTGGGCGGTACACCAACAGAATCCCTAATCTGTCTCGCAAGCCCAACACACAATACAGGCCCTCAAGTCCTCCTCTCAAAGGGACAGGAAGCCTGGTCAAGGAGATAGAACTATAGACTATAGCAACTCCCCGTCCCCGACCGACACTGGTACTGGACCGAGTACCCAGGCGGACACAGCTGGGAGAGGGGGACACCACCTTCCTCTCCCACCCAGGTCTCAGTAATGCACGCCAGGTCAGCACCCTCATCCAGAATTACATCATGGATGAGGGCAGTCTTATTTTGTACTGACCTGGCATTCATCAACAGCACTGAGTGGCTCGAGGGTTTGCTGACATGGTCACCTGGTACCATCTGGTTGGGGGCAGGACTAGAAGAGGGGATAGATGTAAGGTATCTAACCTCTCTTCTCCTACGCGGCCATGTTCTACTCCCACCACCATTCCTTCCCCTACCCAGCACCACCTCAATGGCTGCCCCCTCCAATGCCCTCCCCCTTCCTGTTCCATCAGGTCGACTGTGGGTCTCTATGCAATCCTATGGTAATTAATAGTAATAACAGTTACAAACAAACAAAAACAAACACACACACCCTTCTAATGCCCCTTCTCCCCTCCCAGCCAGGTGGCTGGTGTTAAAGAATGGGTGGGGTAGTTAATACGGAAGTTAGAGAACGGAATTGTGTTTTGGTTGATTATGTCCTCCATTTATGTAGAGAAAAGATCCCATAGGAAGAGTGGATGGCAGACAAACAAGGAGAACCAGACTTCATTTTCTAATGCTTCACCGCGCTTGAGGATGTTGAGTAACAGAGATCTGATAGGGTAAAAGAGAATTACATGCACTTGAACTTCTGCTTGGCAAAAACCTGTGTATTAATGTTTTAACATTTTACAGTGTATTCTTCATTTAACACTTCTGCTGTCATCTACAGCCTAGTGGAATAGGTCCCATCTGAAGTCGTGAAAGTTCTTTCCAATTATAGATATCATAGAAGGTTGATAAATATTTCTTTAAAATCATTCATTAAGCCAAAGTCTGGTCATGAAAATAGAGCAACCAAACTTTACTGCCTTCACAAAAAAGTATCAGGATAAGACTTCCGGCTTGACATTGTGACAATACAGTCCCATGGAGATAGAGCTCTGCTCCCAGAGATTGCTTTTCAGCCTGCTAGGGAGCCCCAAGGGGCTTAAGTCACCCCAGAGAGGTGATGAGTGAGGGGGAGATACCTGTAGATCAAGAAGATAATGGCAATTGTCTTCATTTGATTTGGGAAACTACT